CCCCAAAACCCCAAAACCCCAAAACCCCAAAACCCCACATAGGTATTAAAGTCGATTAATTAATATTAGAGGGTTTATATACAATAGCTGATCTAAAGAGATGGATTCTCATTGGCTATATTCAATTTGAATTCAATTTCTTCTAAACAAAGCGTTAGTTATTTGGTCAACAATGGTGTTATAAGGGAAACTTACCTTCGCAGCTGGTCCCTGCTGGGATTTCATTGCAGTTAGCACTGATATTTCTCTCCATTTCCAACTTTCTCATGATTCCCGACTCTAAGTGGCTTTGATCACCAATTTCCAAAGCTGAGTTGCTCTCAAATGCTCTGTACTCACTGATTCTGATAGAGGACTGGCTTTTCAAGAAAGAAGTCTGATGTGACTCTGGGCTTGGAGCAAGCAAGTAAGTCTTAAAGGCCTTGTAGTCAAGTTCCTCGGTACGTCCTAGATCTTCTCCTTGAGTTTCATCCATAGTCTCATTGTTAGCTCTTCTATCTTTGTGATCAGTGGATAGAGATGAAAGTTTGAGTTCAACCTTTCTGATCATGGCCTTACAATCTTCAAGAGTAGATTCATCACCTCTTCTTTTGAGGAATTTAAGGAGATCGTCAGCTGAAATCTTTCCATTGTCACTGGTATCAAGATGGAAGAAGGCATTGGCTATATCCTCTGCCTTGATTTCCTTCTTAATGTCAACTATTCTGAGTAGAAAATCTGAATAATGGATTTTGAGCTCTGGAGCTTTCTTGTTTAGCTTCTTCAGCTGTTTGAGTTGATTCTTAAATTTCCTGTTCTTCCCAATAAGATCTATCAGTTCATTAATTTTGATAAAGCCTGTGTTCTTGACATCGAGGCTTTCAAAGTAGTGGTTCCACTCTTGGACTACTTCAGATTCAATGTTATTCAAAAGTAAATTGAATATTTCTTTCTTTAAAGTGTCTGGAGCTCTGTACCTGGCAAGTTTTCCAAGGACTCTATATCAGCCATTAAGATTTGAGGAAAAGAGGGTAATATGATCATAAAACTTCTAATTAAGTTAAAGCAGTGGTTTAGGGCGCTTCCTTTAGGAAATATTGCTTCTAGCGGAATTTCGTTATTAACAGAATTAGGCATGGTCACATTCACTAAATTTCGAAAATTTTTCTTTAAATCAATGACCTAAAAAATTGGATATTTTTAGGAATAGTATTAACTCGAAAAAGAGTTTGATCGATGAGCACTATTTCTTAGAGAAGAGTACTAATTTTGCTGTTCACAACGTTCAGGAAGTCTAAATTATTTCCCCGCCAAAATGGAGTGTCTTTAGGAGAAATATCCAATTCAAAAATATAAGCATGAAAACGGAGTAAATGGTTGGCTATAAAATTCTCAAATGGTGAAGATGGCCAAAGTTGCTCACATTGAGCTCCGGGAGAGATTTCCCAATGTTTATAATTCATTTGTTATATTTAGCGATATTTACTTTTAATACGTCATAATCATAAAAACATTAATACTATCGAAAATTACATTTGAGAACAAGAAATATCTTTACCTATCGTCGAGTTCGGGAATGAGTATCTGAGTCTTAACAATCCATTGATGTCTGAGAGCTTCATCTGCAGTCAGTCTCTCCTTAGGATTTACCTTCAGAAGTCCCTTAACGAATTTATAACTTTCTGGTGAGAGGTCTTTAAAATCTGCATCCATATATTTCAGGCTGCAGTTCCTTATCCTACTAAAGAGCTCAGGTAAGGTTTTTGCCTGGAATGGTGGGCAGCCTGTGAGGAGGACATAAGTGATAACTCCAATACTCCAGAGGTCACATTCTTTCCCATAGCATTTGTCCAAGACTTCAGGGGCTACATAATATGGTGTCCCAACTTTGGTTGAAAGATTCACTTGTTCAGAATAGAAGGCCGATAAACCAAAGTCGATAATTTTCAATTTAAGTGTCTCTGGGTTTATAATAATGTTCTCTGGTTTCAGATCTCTGTGGCAAATGTTCAAACCACTTAAGTACTTAATGGTTTTAAGTAATTGAGTAGAGATTTTGACAGCTTCTTGTTCGGTGAGTTTAGTCTTGGCTACTACAAAATCAAAAAGTTCCTTCCCCTCAACTAGCTCCATAACAATATAGAGTTTCTTCTTATCTTTAAAAATCTCATGAATCTTCACAACGTTTGGGTGATCGATTTTCTTCAAGGCTAAAATTTCTTGTATGATGGAATGATACTGAGACTTTAGTTTCTCAAGCTTAATGACCTTTACTGCCACTTTATATCCAGATTTGCTGAGAGATCTTCCGGCTTTGACTATTCCGTACTTGCCGGCACCCATGACTTCTCCCATTTTGTAATAGTTCTTAATAGGTTCTTCGGTTATAGCCATGTCTGCGAGAGCGTCATTAAGGATATCTAATTTAGCTGTCCTCTCCATTTTAGATGCAATGGTTAAGCACTTGGTTTTCCTCTTGAATTGATTCACCTTGGGGAGGCCACTAGGCGCCTTGTCCAGGATGGATGCTTCCTCCCGATCACTGCTCATCATTGAGCTCTGGGAGCTAGTACAGCAGCCGATAGGATTAGTATTGCCCATTTTAAATAGTAATGTTGATATGAATTAATCTAATAATTTTCTTTTATGGGGTTTTGGGGTTTTGGGGTTTTGGGGTTTTGGGG